AATTCATTACACTTCCAAGGACAAATGACTGCTAAATAACTCTGTCTGCCTCTCTCTCTGTCTCCCTCTCTTGCTCTAATCCATCATCATAAAATAACAAGAGTATAGACAGCAACAAAGACAATCAGACACTTATTTTATATTAAATTACTAACAATTTACCCCCTTTATCATTGATAATTATGATACAAATACACAAACTACAATCAGGGTTGATTGTCATATAAAAGTGAAAGTTCCCCTTTCATACAACAATACAAGTAGACGTTCCTATGTTGTGTTATTCAATCAAAAAGAACATTTTCTGTAATAAGTAGAATATAGTCGAGGTGGTCAATGTTGTATTTCTATTATTATGGTTTTGATTATTTTTCTGGTTGCCTTTTTGTGGTTGGTGCCTGTATTGTCTAACCAGATAATCAGACCAAGTTGGCATTCATTAAGTCTTACACAGGGGTTATTTTGTATTGTTTTACCCAGACCAATCAGTAGCAAGTAAAGTAGCTCTCCTGCCAACAACAGATATTCATTTTCCACCAAAGCAGTTTGAGGGCTGATTCAGAGCCGGAGCCTAATCTCAAACCATTTGCGTTTCGACAGCAAAAGAACTGGAGAGCCAAGAAAACTGGTTCCAGCATAGCACCAACACTTTGCTGGTCTAGAACCAAGAACCGCTTACAATGGGAAGCTAGGGGTGTCTTGGTTAGCTGTTTAGCACATGCATGTTACGAACATTGAGCTAGCTGGCATACTAGCTAGCTGCTGGTCAGATAGAATTAACCAAGCAAGCATAGCTACCAACCTCTCACATCAATGTTTTGTACGTAACATTGTTTTTAACTTTAATGTAAAGTAAGTCGTAGAATGCTTGCTAGGGTAATATTAGCTGAACAACAGCTAGCTAGCTAGCCAGTTAGCGTAACCTTGCTAACAATAGCCAACGCTGGCGATATAATGATGTGGCTCTATGGTGGCTCTCTAACCCGTGGAAAAGCATTGAAGGTTCTCAAGTTGAACCAACTCTGAACCGGCACTAGCACTAGGTTCTCATTGTTGGACAACAGAACAGAAGTGGTGGGAGCAGTAAGCTTAACAAACGGTTATTCCTGTGAGTGGACAACAACCGGTACAGCTGTATCAATCTCATCCCCGTGGTCATTTCTGTGGCCATTCTTCTGTCGCAATTTGTCGCAAACTTTATTCTCCACATATATTCAATTGTAATATTGTACACAAATTTCATATTTTACGGTTATACACTAGCTATTATTTAGAATGAATTCATTGTGGGTGAACCATTGAACACTGTTTATATTATCCCTACAACTAGGCTACTAAATCTTGTTGCTCTTTCAAGAACATTTCCAAATTCACTGAGCCGAGGTGCTGAGAGGGAGGATGAGGGGTTGTAAAAAGGAGAAAAGAAGGTGGAGGAGATGGAAAAGGAAGAGAGAAGGAGGAGGAGCAGGATGGGTAGTTGGGCAGATGTTGCTTTGTTTAAAGACTGTTGTGTAATTAAGCACAGAAGAACAGAAGCCTGACCCATTTTCTCCTTTTGATCAGCTGTCAGAGAGACAGGCAGGGGGTCTGCTGAGGGATGACCTGTCTGTCTGTCAGTCTGTCTGTCTGTCTGTCAGTCTGTCTGTCTGTTTCTTCCTAAAACTTTTAGCTGTCTTGCCGAAGGAACCCCATTCGAGAGGCGGCTGCCATTTTATGTTCTACCTGACATTCCCCAATACAGAGAAAGGTATTATAAGTGTTAGAGAGGAGGAGTGAACAAGAAAAAGAAGAAGAAGAAGAAGAAAATGAAGAAGAAGAAGAACTGAGTGAGCATGAGAAGGAGGAAGAGGGGACGAAGGATGAGGAAGTGTAGGAGGAGATGGAGAAAAGAGGTGAGACAGGGATGAGGAATGGGAGAAAAAGATGAGGAGGTTGAGAGGGAGGAGGAAGAGATGAAGATGAGGAATGGAAGTGGAGAGCAGGAGGTGAAGAAAGAAGAGTTGGAAAGTGGAGGAGATGTAGAGAAATGGGAGAGGTGGAGAAAAGGAGGGAGGGTGGAGGGGTAAGATTCAGGAGACGGGGGAGGAAGACTGTAAAGGAGCAGCTGCAGGGGGAGAAGGGGGAGGAAGAAGAGGCGGAGGAGGAAGTGATAGAGTTTGGAGTCAATATGGCGGGCATTGACAGAAGCTCCGCCCCCTCTCACAAAGTTTATTTCATCATTTCAAAAACAAGTGTCTAACACTAAAATTCCATCATTTTAACACGGATAAAACTACAGTACATTTCATTTGCATCCAACAACTACAGCTCCCATGAGTCTTAGCCACAAGCTTGCTATCAAGCCCTCAAAGTTTCCCAACACGTGTCCCCATAAAGTCACTGCAACTGTCCTCAGTGTTATAACAGGTCCACTGTCCAACGGCTGCAAATACTGAGGCTGAGAGACATGACTGACAGGGTGTAACACACACACACACACACACACACACACACACACACAGAGAGAGAGAGAGAGAGAGAGAGAGAGAGAGAGAGAGAGAGAGAGAGAGAGAGAGAGAGAAAATAAGAAATGAGAAAAATATGAACTGTTACTTTTTATATTTTATTTTATTATTACCAAAGCTGAATTTAATGTAGTAGAAAAAAAGAATAAAACAATAACATTCAGTTAAATACGTAGGCTTTGTAAAAGAAAGTAAGTAGGTTTATTTAAAGGATAACTGTGGCGTTACTCCCATGAAAAGACCTAAACCAACAATGTGTCAAACACCTGTCTGTGGCTCTCAGCACTAATCCCATTGGATCCACTGGTTTAAATCTCTAACAAACTTCTAAAAAACTTTTTCTTAATTCTAAATAAAACAGCTGGGCCCTGTAGTTTTTAATGAAACGTTACTCAAACATTAGGAAAAAGTGCATTTGTTGGGGATTATAAACTACAGTGTGTGCGTGTGTGTGCGTGTGTGTGTGTGTGTGTGTGTGTGTGTGTTCATGGTGATGAAGGTGTGTTTTTAGTGTTTTTGGTAGTTTCTGGACAACAATGGAGCTCTGTGGCACAATATAAGATATATCAGGCTTTAAAACACACATACAATATTTATTAGTTAATACATACAGAATATCACAGAACTTATACTTTAATGTGATTGTCTCAATGCATTTTGCCAAAAAATAAAAAAAGTAAATGATAAATATAATGTTTAGCATTGTGCCATCATGTTCCTGTGGAGAGAGAACACTGTTTGGACCTAATAACACTTGTATTAGAACATGTAAAGATGATAGTAAATAAGGAAGTAAACGTTTGGTCTCTGAGTTGTTTGCAGACCTTACTGGCATCACATTACCTGACTGACTGCTGAGATAATCATTAGCCTGTTTATCTAGAAAGGTTTCCCAGGTTATATTTGCTGCATTTCTGTGTGCTTTCAAGGCTCTTATTATTTTCCAGATTCATTTTGAATATGCATTACAATAGAGCTGAATATGATTCATTTGTTATTTTGCTGTAAGTTGAACGGCAGTATAGCTTTGCTTGTTGATGTATGAAAAAAATCCACCACACGGAAGAGAGGCATGGCAGGGCTTCACCCCACACGTCGAAGTAAGGATCATGTTCAACAGTTTTACTCACATTTATAGATATTTGTGCCAATATTTCATAGTTTTGATATAATATTGAAAGATGGAATGTATGAATAGAAGTGTAATATCACATGTTTCAGTGCAAGTTCTTGCACAGGATTTTTTCAAATATCGCTGTCCATTAGAATGGACAGTGGCTCAGGAACCATGTTATTGAACTCAATTGGCCAGTATTGATGAATGACCTTATTACTATAAAACAGTACATCAGAACAAGAGAATGAGTCGATAATCAGTTGAAAATATTCCATATGCAGAGCAAACAAACAAACAAACAAAAAAAAAAAAAAAAAGAAAAGAAAGAAAATTAAAACAATTATATTTTAAAACTGTTTGGACCTTACAAAAAAAAAATCACTTGAACTGTTCAAATTCATGTTCCATGTGATGTCAATGTGACAATTATAAGATAAAAAATAGGTATGATGTTGTCATATGATGTTGGTATTTTAACAACTGTTTGGACCTGATGTCCATTGAGATGGACAAAAAAAATAACAATGAAAGACTTTTGATAAAAAATTTTTTTTATTGATTCTCATTTCTGGTTGCATTAAGGATGGGAAAAAGTCATTATTATATTTTTCACAACCTTGGAACATAAGGCGGGTCTGAAGGGGTTAATTTTGTGCTGTAGCCAGTTTCCTTTTAGATCTTGTTATAACAAAAAGTCGTATACATATACCATACATAACAAAGCATGTTAAAATTAGTATTAGTAATAAGTATTTTTTTAACGTATTTAACATTTTATGTTATTGTTATGAATTAATTTATTTTGATTTTCACTCATTCAGTGTGACATATGGAGAAACCAAAACTGTGTATCAAGTCAGAGAGAAAAAAATGACAAAGGCAACAAAACAGTAAAAAAAACAAAAAACAAAAAAACAACAACATAAAGAAAAGAAAGATGGGGAAAAAAGAAAAGAATAGAAAAGAAAAGATAAAAGAAAAGGAAAGGAAAGAATAGAATAGAATAGAAAAGAAAAGAAAAGAAAAGAAAAGAAAAGTAAAATAAAGAAAATGAGTTAAAATAGAAGACAAGAAAAGAAAAGAAAAGAAGAGAAAATAGTAAAGAAAAGGCAGAAGTTGGTGACAGAGAGCAGGTTCCTCTGCTGTCAGTCATATTGCTGTGGTTGGAGTCAGTGGCAGGTTGTAAAATGGGAATAAAGCTGCAGAGCTGCAGGTTGATCAGGACGTTTCCTCCTCTCAGTTCTGTCCTATTTCTCTCCCTCTCTCTCTCTCTCTCTCTCTCTCTCTCTCTGTCTGTCCCGGGCCATCTGCTGTGTACAGAGCAGCAGTATTGATCTGCAGCTTTGTGCTGGAGACCACATGCTAATCTATAGCGTTAGTGACAAACACTGCTCCGCTTTGCCTCGCATCTGTCCCACTGACTCTCTCTCTCTCTCTCTCTCTCTCTCTCTCTTTTCTCTCAATATAACCAGTGTCATCCTCCCTCCCTCTCTCTCTCTCCAAATGACCCAGCAGTTTTTGGACGGGGGTCCATCTGTCCGGCTGTAAACTCTTCCTCCTCCTCCTCCTCCTCCTCCTCCTCCTCTTGCAGTGGTTGGTTGCTGGTGAGTCCTATTCAGTGTGTTTTGGTGTTTCATGGCAGCCATGTTTGGTGTTAAATATAAATGACATGTTGATGAGCTGAGAGCAAGAGAGGTGCAGAAATAGAGAATAAAGACATTTACAAGTATTTTGTGTAAACAAGACAATTGTGTTTTTTGAGAAATATAATTTTCTGAATTTATATAAAGAAGTAGAGAAATATACAGAGATATTGCAGAGTTTGATCGAGGTGCAAGATATTATTCCAAGTTGTTGATGTACAGATATTATGGAGACATAGACATAATGTGGTAATGCAATACATAGGAATGATAATTCCTATGTACAGATATACAGAGAGATACATGCAGTATGTAGAGATTCATGGAGATATTTCTACAGATTATATAAATAGAGATATATTTAACTATTAGAAATGTATGTAATGTATGTATCAGAAATGTATGTAGAAATATTGTAGCTAAGAAAAGATAATGCAAAAATAATGTTGAGTTTAACTAAGATAAAACAGATCATTGTTGAAGAAAATGTTGTGATATATTTAAATGGTGATAAAATTAAGATTTATAGATTTACATACAAAGAGATCATATAAATTCCAGATTTATAGAGATATATTTGACACGATGAGATAAAATGATAGATTTACATCAAATATATGTAAGACAAAAACATGAATTTGTTATTAGATAATATAGACATTGAAATTAGTACATAATATAGATATGATACAGAGATTTGTATAAACATCTATAGAAGACATTGAGAGAAATATTAAAGAGATATGTAAAGATAATACAGCTATTATGAAGATGTATATACAGATATACTGATCTAATTTATGGAGTTACATAAATGCATATTGATAAAACACATGTCTCGGTACATGTAGGATAAAATATAGAACTATATTTAAATATATGGAAATAAAATAGAGCTTCATAAACATGCATAGAGACAATGCACAGTGGAGTTATACAGAGATACATACATATACGGAAAATAGACCAGTGTAGATAATGTAGACACTGAAATAAATACATTGTAAAGAGATGAGGCAGCAATTTATAGAAGATACAATAAATAATACAGAGATGTGTAAAGATACATAAAGATACAGATGAATATAAAGATATAATATAAATATATACTCGTGTAAATATTTTAGAGTTTGTTGGAGATACAGTATGCTAAGATAATCCAATAAGACAATAAATAAATGTTTTTATGGTGACTTATATGGAAATATACTGAGGTCATATGTAGAGTTGTAGAGATAAAACATTTATTTGTAGGGGATGTTTGTAGGAGAAAATAAGTATTTTAATATATGGATAAAATGTATACAGATAATACACAGTAGATACACACACACAGATACAAAATATATTGAGATTTTATTAGAGACAAGTATAAATATATATATAAAAGGTAAAGATATGACACAGATGTTTATATACACTACAGATGTTTAGCTATAGTGATACACAATGACATAAACATTAGTCTATATATTACTGTACATAGATTGAATTAATTAATTAATTAATTGTATATGTATTTAGAGAGAATAAATACATCGAGATGGTAAATAAAGTACATAAAGATAAGCCATTATTCTGGGTTTTCTGGGACTTTCTAAACCTTCACACACACAAACACACACACACACACACACACACACACACACACACACACACACACACACACACACACACACAATGTAATAATATAATAATAATGCTGTAGCATCTTATTGTAGCCATTTGGGGGAAAAAACTGAGAAAAGTAAGGCACACTTCCATCATCTTCCTTCTTTCTTCTATTCTTCTTCCATCTTCTCCCCCTTTTCTTCCAATTCTTCCCTCATCCTCCTCCTCCTCCTCCTCCTCCTCTTTCTCTTCCTCCTTTATTCTACTCAAGTCTTTTCAAACTTTTCGGACCTGCTGCCTCTTTTGTTGCGGTTCTGTTGGCCGTGAAATCGGCTTTTAATGGGAACACAATGGCCGCGTGCAGAGCCGACCCGCTGTATTCAAATGTGACCACACGCCATAATCACTGCGTTTCCAACTCTGAATTAACACTCATTTAACAGCCTTTCATCTCACCCCTTTATGAATTTTTATATATATTTGTACATATTTGCAAATTCTTCAAATGCTGATAAACTCCAGTCAACTGCCACGAAACAGCCTTTTGAAACTTTTATGGTTTTGTACATAAGATTTATACCTCACAGTTTGACAGGTTACCTCTAAGGTTGTATGACTTTTTGAAAGATTCATCATCATCACCAGCTATTACAAAAAAGAAAGAAAAAAGAAGCAAAAGTAACTGCTGCAAGTCATTTTTGTTCTTGTCAAAAAGAAAATAATTCATGTTCATGCAATTTATTTTCTTTCATTCATTTTGATTATAAGGACAATGCACATTAATCAACATTTCTGTAAATGTTCCATTGTTAGCCATCTGGCTCTCAGCTGCTGTCCTTTGGCAAGATGTTTTAAAAGTGACAAGTTAACAAACAACAAAGGCAACAAAACACACACAGTGTACGAATCATGCAGTGGGACAGGAAGAAACAAAACACTGATGCAACAATACAATGTTCAATACAAGCCATGGAAAGCAGTATAAAGCAGCACAAATGAGCAATACTGTTTATAGCACAGTTTGCTCACAGCCAAGCAGAGCAGTAAGACAAATAGTAAATAATACTAAAATCTGATTAGCCAATAGTATATTGATAGTCATTGTATAAATAGTTCACTGTAAATGATTTCCTTGTACATTTACAGTAAATTACTGGCAGCACGGTTGCCAGCAAGTTGCTGCCTTTACAACAAACTATTATAATTGTATTGTAATTTAATATATAGAACAATACTGTATGACTACAGAACAGTATTTCCCTGTATTTCTACTGTATTTTATTATATTGTACTGTAATATATCTGGTAGCACACTGTTATTAGACTAGTTAATATGCCCACACATTTCCAATGAATAAGTAAATAAGTTCAATTCAGATTGTAATTTTGAATAATTTGGGGCACTAACACTAAACCCAGAGCCTAATGTAAAATTTGTAAATGTAAATAAGGACTTAGAATTATTTCTTTTTTGCAGATTTTTCCGGCCTAGGGCCAAAGCTATGATTTTATTAATGTTAAGGTCAAGAGTCCCCTATGTCTTCCACCCCACTGACCCCCTCAGCATACTACCAAAAAAAAGTGTTTTAATCATTGGGATTTTTCATTTTTTATTTATCAAGTCAACTGTTCTATTTTACACACACACAAAAAATCATTTGTTGGCTTCAAAGGAGTCAGAATTAAATGCAGTGGGTATGAGAAGAAGGAGAATATAAAATACTGACCATGTGTGAGCTTTAATTGTAGAATGCTACCACTTTGCCCAAATTCCAAAATTCCCCCAAAATATACACAAGACAAGACTGCTATGTAGGCCATTCAAAATCATTCAATTGCAACTACAGTTATTTAACTCAGCATTCTTCAAAATATTTTTTTCTTTATGTTTGTAATTCCACTCCAGTATTTTAACCTAAAATAAAGTAAACCTCTAATTTAATGTCACATTTTAATATACAGTGAGAAATATACAAAACATTTAAATGAAAGCTTATATTTTTGTAATTCTTAATGGATTTGAACAAGATGGCGGTCAGAAGGCAAGAAAACACACACTGAAATAATGTGTTTAATCAGGATATTTTTCATAATTCACATCATTAAAGGGCTCATTCGTCTCCCCTCATTAAACTCACTTCAGTCACAGCTGCTGACAGTTTGAGTGCACACACACACACACTCGTACACTCACATATATTTTTTAGCAAACATCAGAGAGAACATGGCCACAGGCAGAGGCAGCTCATGCTAATTCAGATCAATATTAGTGATGAATTTCCACGTGAGCTTGGTCTCCTCTCGGAGAGGCAGCTCCGTGATCTGAGGGCAGCTTTACTGTGCACATTAGTTAACACTACTGAACACTGTGTGAGTGTGTGTGCAGTGTCTACAGTCTATACCGTATAAACACAAACAGACGTCCTCTGTACTTCTCTGTAAATATAGAGACCCGAAGAGCAACTTAACATTTATCGCTTAAAAGAGACAGATACCAACATACACAGAAAATGAAACAAATATATGAGAATTTACAATACTTTTTACACCATCATTTATTCTTCACTTGTATGTGTTTCTTTGAATCTTGTTCCAGTTTCTCACTACATAAAAGCACAATTTTTTAATGCTGGCAGTGCACCATGGGCAGCTGAATACAAGCTGTGATTGTACTGTAATGCTCCGTACTAACAGAGAATTATACAAAACTTCCATTAAACTGCAAATCTGAACATTGCTGCCATTTTTTCATATCTGATATAAATGTCACAAAAAGTATTTTCCAGGGGTTTACAGAATACATTTAGGGGAAAATAAATAACAGTTCTTTATTTTTAGCACACAGACTGTGGCGTTTAAAAATAAATGTAAAGTTTTGGTGATTTTAAAGACTAAAAAAGTAAGCAGTTTCACTGTGGGGTATTTGGTAAATGGTTATTATGTATTTTCTTCTTTTCTTTATTCTGCTATCCTGATAAGACTCTCTCAATTTTTTTTTTATTTCTGAAAGAGTTGCCAAAGAGATAACTCAATATGCATATGATTCAATATCAAATAAACATAAACCTCTCGTTAAAAATATTGTTTTCTGTCATGTGTCTTTTCAACGACACTAACACGATTATTTATTTTAACTACAAAAAACTGTTGAAACTGATTACATTGAAAATTATAAGTAATACTAACTAAATTTTGTAAGCTAAAGACATTCTTGATTAAGCAACTTTTACTAGTAATTTTACGTTACACTAGCTTAGTTTTGTAAGTTACAGAACAGTACAAATAAAGATTGCAAAGTCAAGTTCAGTTAACTCATCAGGTTTACAGTGAACATTGCCATGACAAAATACCATCAGGTCTGACCCCAGAATGCAACTTTCATTATTTAATGTGTACAGTAAGTGAAACTGTGAGGGACTGGTCCAGTATGCAACTTGTACAGTGTGATGTAGAAACCTGAAGCCACCTGTGCACATCCACTGAGAATGGACTTTACAGTGAAGTAGGAGACATCTTGTGTCCAGCAGGAAAACTTTAGAAATGAACAACATTTGCATATCCAGAGATTCTGGAGTTTATAATGAGGTAGAAGGAGTAGAAGACTTTATAAATATGTGGAAATTATATTTTTTTGGGAAAAAACATATCAGACACACATTATTGTTCCAAGCAGACTATTTGTATATGCTGTAATAAACATCTGGAGTGGATCTTTAAGCAAACTGACCTAACTAAATGGGTATGTACACATTTCAGGCACAGAAGGGATAGACATAACACAACAACTAAATTAATTACAAATAAACAGATAGTTTGCTGGCAACATCAAAATAACTCTGTAAAATGTTAAATTAACCTAATAAACACAAACAAAAATGCCCTCTGCCCAAACCCCCTTTACTTTAGCAGATACCTAGTACAGTCCTGACCCGGGTGTAGGCCTTTAACACAGCTCCTTACGACTTCATTAGCATAAAAACACACATTCACTCCGCTCAGTCAGCCTGATTCAATCTCTACCACTTTATTTTATGTGTGAAATGTATTTAAATTCTACAAAGAACAATGTTTTGTCACAAATTCATAAACCTCCTTGTTGACAAAGTAAGTCCCAAAATCACGGCACAGGATCATCACTTATTTACTACAGGACTAAAGGAGGGTCCCCCCCTGCCCCCTCGCCCCTCCTCCCTGCATGATTATTTAATGTCCTCTGGCATGTTGCTCTTTTAATCATAACATTTGATTTATTGATTTCAGCGTGACAGCTGAGGGTTTCTGAGGTTTCACACTTCTGATCAAAGACAAGAAGAAAAAGAAGAAGAAGAAGAAGAGGAGGAGCTGCATTAATATTGCAGATCTCTACATGGCTGAATCGGAGACGACAGCAGATTAGCAGAACTGTTTTATGTGTGCCAAAACAGATTGACAGAGAGCACTGCGGTCAAATCTGTTCCTCAGAGGTTGATATTTTTCCAGTGTGTGATAAAAGTGTGTGATCAGCTCGCATCATTTCTATGAGTGGCCCTAGACCCAATTCATGGCCTGTCCTCTGTGATTTTGTGTGAGCTCCTTATATTTAGAGGATTGACTTTTGACTTGTGGTTTTAAATCAATCATTTTTGCACGTGAGACTGCCCTGCTGACAGTATAATTCTATTTTTTCTCCTTACATATATGTATAAATATATACATACATATATGAATTAAAAAAAATTCTATTATGTCCTTTTTTTTTGTTATTTATGATATTAAAATATTTTTCACACTATTTTGAATAAATCAATTTCTAGAATGTTTTGTTCTTTCTTTACTTGACCTTAATCAATTAACACACACATATATAGATACACACAGACATATATATACAGTATATATATAATTTAAAAGTGACCACAGAAATGCAACCAAAGTGGGTATGTGCAGTTGTTGACGCTGTGTTATGAAACATACCATTTTGGGGGGTATTTCCTAATTTAATAGGGGCGTTTCATTATACAGTGTTAACAGCTGCATATGAATTTTACTTCAAGCTTGGACCAAAGTGCTGAAATTGCCACAAAATAGCAAGTAATTGTCAGAAAGAGATTATGAAAAGCATACAGTATAACTAAAATATACATGCATATAGTTTGTGTTGTTTTTTAGATATGTGGACATGTCTTTGTTGCAGGTCTTGGTCATGAATGTCCTCTATTATAGATAATATATAAGATGTATAATACATGTCCTTTCATTTGATTGGCCTGAGAGCTCTGGTTTGACAAACTGACTGTAGCATAAAAGTCACTAGGTGATTGTTGGGTATTATCATAAAGAAACGTCACAACAAACATTGCACTGGATTCGAGTATGTGGCTTCTCGTTCATCGCTTTGGACAGAAACATCTGCTAAATGAATAAGTGATCATGTAAATGTCTCACTTGTTTTCCTGCCTGTAGCCAACCTTCTATTCTACAGACACTGATATTTTCAATAGTTTCATAATTTAGTTTTTGTAATTAATATGTATTTCATTAGAAAACTAGAAAAGAGCAAACAACAAAAACACATATTCATACATACTTAAAACCAGTTGTTCTTATTGCTCATTTACCTACCTACATTCTTTCTAATCTTATTTACTCATTCTTTCATTTGTCCGTTGTGTATCTGTTTATGTTTTCCCTGTCGGCTCTTTCCACTCTCCACTGCTGCACTGACCTTGTTTCCTCCTGCGGGAATCAATAAAGTTTTTCTCTTTATCTTTTGACTCCAACAATTGCACCAATGTGACACTGGACATTTCCAGTTAATCAGGCAATTGTGTTCTGTTATTCATCTGTCTTTTTCAGCTTTAAATGATCTCTTTCATTTTATCTCAGCAGCGGACTGTTTGTCTCATGCAGATCAATAAAGTTTCATCGTTCTAAACATGATCTTTGTTGCTGAATCATAAAAAAAACGGTACTTTTATTTTTACTGTACTGTAAAAACTTTGACAGCAAAAATTAGAAGTAAGTAGCGTTGTAATATATACTAAATACACATTAATGTTTTTACAGGAACTCAATCCAACACAGTGACAAAGGTAATTACATATTTTTTTAAATGTTGTGTTTTCTTTTCAGCCTCATCTGATTATTGTGTTAACATTTATTTTTGACATTTTCAAACACTGAACTGTAAAATATCAAATGTATGACAGTTAACAAATTGCTTTATTCAAATGAAAAATAATCCCAATCTGTGAGATTGTTTTCAATCCAGCTGTTGACTCCTGCAGGTCTTCTTTTGTCACCAGCTGCTGACATAAGAGAGGGGGGCTAAAAGGGTCAGAGGTCAGAGGTCAGCCACCCCTGGCACACGCCATCTGACCTCTCTCATTTACATACACGCTGACCTATATTCTTGTGACAGTTGTTTCTGTTTCTGTTAAATAAAAGAATAATAAGACTACTTTTTTGATATTCTATTTTCAAAGATTTTTTGCCATTTAACATGAATATTTCCCTACATATTTTTATTTTATGTATTCAATTGTTTATCTTTTTTGTTCTGTTTTTATTTTGGTTTATGTTATAAATATCATTGTGATCTACTGGTATAGAAATAATGACATCATTCATCAGTAAGAGATAGTGATTGATTATGCGTTTGGGGACGGGACTTGACACACACACACACACACACGCGCGCACACACACACACACACACACACACACACACACACATTCATTAACATTGATAAATTTAGTTTCTCAGTTTCAATTCAAAATGCCATATTTGACTTTAATTCACTGTAACAGTGTCATATCACTGATTGAGATCCCTTTCTTTTTAAAATTCATCATAATGTAGTATTAGTTGTTTAGTGCACTTTATGTTTATTCATTTTGTGAAATAAAAATAAGTTTGCACATGCATTTATTTACTTGGAGAAAGAAAGATTTTCTTGTTGACAGTATGTTGCTGCAACTCCATGTTTGTTGCCGATGTGCTGGCAGCTTTTAAAGACAACTTTCAAAATTGTTGTCACTTTGATCATAAAACTATTAAAATAACAATGAAGAAAAAGTAAAAGAATTTTGTTTTTTGATAATTTCGGATTTAATCCCCCTTGCCTCATCCTCCTCTCAGTGGTTCAGAAAGCGCTCCCTGACCTCTGACCTCTGAGGCTGGGCAGTTCACCACACTCCCTAAAAACCAGCAGCACAGTATCGACCTGCAGGCTGCTGCTGACTGACTCATTTCTGTTTAGGACAGATTGAGAAGTGAGGGTGTTTTCCAAAGTGACAACACTTTAGTTAAATGAGGACATTTTGGAAAGTGGGAACATTCTAGCAAAGTGAGGACATTTTAATTAAGTGAGGACCTTTTAGTAAAGTGGGGAGATTTTGACTTGTTTTAAAGGTTAGTGTTAGAATGTAGTTAGGTTTGGGTTTGGAGGTAGGGAACAGATTATTTCACAAATGTTCACAGATCAAACAAAGCGAGGTGATTGAGATCAAAGGAGAATGATGTGAAGACTCAGTGAAATGAATGAGGTGAGATCACTAAACTGACCAGGTGAGATGAAGTTGAATGAAGATATGAGTTAGTGTGAGATCAGTTGTTGAGATGTAATGAGATAAAGTCAAGGTAAGATCAACTGAGAGGCATTAAACCGGGATAAAGTGAACCCCATGATTAGCTGTCCCCATGGAGGAAAGAGGAACTATAAAAAGACGTGATCAATGTAACTTTAGAGAACAGCAAGAAATAAGAGCAGTTTGAAATATAAGATACAATATGAATGATCAGTTGGTTGAACTCCTGTTTTAACTGACAGAACCTCACATTCTGTGTTCAACATGGTATGCCACATGTCTTCTCCCCCCACACAGGTTAAAGGTCACAAAATAGGGTCAGACATTGTGCAACGTGGACAAATCATTGTTTACTGCTGATAATGTTGCACGTGCACTTATTTTCTGATACAGGTTATCACTACAACCTCAGCCATTAGCTTCAGGGCACCTGTAGTTGGGTTCATTCGGTCCAGGCTGAGGGAATAAAACACACATTATTGCCTTTCAGTTCGCGTCCTGTTCCTGTTTACACTGACTCAGTGCAGGAAAACCAAAAGGAGTCAACAAAAAGTCACATGGACTGACAGGTAGCTTACTGATGGGATAGTTTTGGTGATGTCATGCTGCATCATCAGCACTACATAGAGCCACACAGGAAAAACTAACTGATGCCTGACAGCAGGTCAGCTGTACTGAACCTTATCATGTGTTCGTTTATATTCTATTAATGTCACAGTACGCTCATGGAGAAATACCACTCTATGAATATTAGTAGTCAAAACTGCAAATGTTATAGTGACAAACATATAGTCTTTAACTGTAATGTTATGGGAGGATGCTGTGTGGTCGCTACGTTTAATTCACTTCTTATCTGCTTTAGCTCATTTTCACTTTCTGGTTGATCAGGAAAGAACTCCTGCACGTTACCATGGTTACCCAATGAACTAATTGCCTAATCATATATAGGCCAGTACCTTGTTGCTTATTACTTTATTAACAGTTCACAATCAACAGATGGATTTATTAGTTATTGTAGTGAATTCCTGCTAAAATCACTATCACATAGTAAAACAAACTGAATTGGCATACTGGACCAAACTAGAGCTGCAACAATTAAATTGATTACTTGTCAGCTATTAAATTAATCGCCAGTTGGTTTCAGTCATTTTTAAGTTCATTTATTTCAGCTTCTTTTCTTTAGTCTTCTATGAAAGTAAACTGAATATCTTGGGGTTGTGGACAAAACAAGACATTTGAGGACGTCACCGCTTTGGGTTTTCACCATTTACATAGACCAAACAACAATGATTGGCAATGAAAATAATTGGTAGTTGCAGCCCTAAACCAAACCAGACAGGTCAAGGGGAAAGCATCGTACAATCAGTTAACATCCACTCAAAACAAGACAGGATCCACTTTGTCAAATTGATAATTCCATTCATTTTAATAACTAAATGATTAAATAAATACAGAGTAGATATATTTTATTTCAAGTATTGGATGAATAAAACATGTTGTTGATCTACAGCATATTGTGTATGAATAAAATAAATGTGGTTTTAGTTTATATTATTCTTCATAAAGTGATCTCTACAGACATCGATATGGATGGAGCTAGCGTCATTCGAAATGCAAAAAATACATTCTGGAAATGGTTTTACCTAACATTTATAATTTATGATATTTTATATAACAAAAATAGACAAAAGAATTCAAAAATGAAATAGTTACATCATATTGACTTTAACAAGTTTGTGATGTGTTCAAGTCAAAAAATAACATTTGTACTACTATTATTAAACAGTGAGCTAACCTTCATGCCAACAATCTTTTTGTCAAAGTCCTGAAAATGTCACGCTTCAAGTCATAGATATCTCATGTTGGAATAAAACTGTAAGAGACTAAAAAACAAACAAGAGGCAAAAACGCAGCTAAAATTCAGCTGCAGATTACAAAAATAGTCCCAGTTTCTCTCATTTTTGTTGTCTAACACTTTGCAGCAAATATGAACACATGAAAAAAAACATTGAAAAGAAAAGTAATTCCCTTGCAAAAAAGCACAATAAAATGAGCCTCTACTGCTTCATGGATGATGTACTGGCCTCCTTAAACATCCTAATAATAATCATAATTACACTCACCTTGTTGAAGAACTGTCTGTCTCTTAAACAACCAGACCACTTGCCTCTGTAAAGTTTACACTGTATATTTATGTTTCTTCGAGGAGAATGCCCAGATGCAAATGCCTGATTGCAATGTGTGGGATAATGGGGACACAACAGGAAATTATGAAAATTATGAAGCTACAAAAATATGTATAACTTCCCACGTAATAACATTTCAGCATTTCAAATCAGTAATACTTGATGGACTTGAAAAACATTAACATACATCAAAACACACAAAAATGCATCTGTAAACACACAAACACAGACCAAAGGAACCATAAATGTAGTTCATACAACTTTACCCATTCACAGTAACCTGAGTATACAAATAATGCACACATACATGTGGAATGGCAGAGGGTCAACATTTATTTCTGTCACCAAATTTACGAAAATTGTGGACCAGGTTGTATTTTGCCATTAAATACAAAGAAACCTGATCAAAACCAAAATAATTTCTTATTTAATTTATTTTTTTCTTACTTCTTATTTTTGCAGTTATAATATGTAAAAAAAAATCATGGCTGTGAGAGTATGTTTTTGTTTTAATTATCTAAGGTTCCTCTTGGGTCAGGCTGTGTTATGTTGGACATCTTTAAATCACATCAACTAATACTAACATTTTCTTATATGTATGGTTATTCTTCTTTTTCTACATGAAAGCAGTGTGCTTCAGTGTGGGGCAAACATCTGGTTTTATGCAGAAGACCAGAGTTTGCCTGTCATCATTGCTTCCTTGTAGATTCATACCGGTAATCCATCAGCAACAGTCTGCACTCTTTATCCTTGGCCCTTTTAGTTAATTATGTAATCATATAGAGCAATTTAAGGATTTACAATAAAACAATTGTTTTTAAACGAATACTGATTAAGAATTTTTTCACTGACCCAAACAAATTAATTAATTAATTAAATATACATGATAATATGAAATGTATCACAAAATAATAATTTCTTCCAAATCACCAACATATAATACTGATAATATCTGAAGCAATCAGGATCATAATTTTTACTTTTGTGCTGTCTGAGTCTCAAGGTGCGAGACAGATTTTAGGATCTGTGTCCACTAGGTATCTTTTCCAGTTACTATCAATTGCACCTGCCTTCCAGAACTTCAGGATAACATTTTTTCAGACTCTCCATGTTACTTCACCAACGCCCTCTAGCAGAAGCAAATATAAACTAGAAGATTGCACTCAGTCAGGTGCATGTGGGTGGGGAACTAGGAGTGCAGGGCAGGCTGTGTGTCCACAGTGTCTTACCTTGGTGTGCAAATCTGGACAGGAACAATTAAAAAACACCACTGATGACAGCAACAAAACAACAAAAGAATCTGCCAACACAAACCTGACCACCACGTACTTGTCCCAAGCAGAAACAAGATTCCAATCTGAAGCAGTTGTTGATCACTTGCGGCCCTCTACACGTTCACTTTTTTTTTTTTTTTTTTGGGTCCAGTAGTATGCGAGGTTAGCGGACAGTTACACATGGATACACGCCCACACCTCTGTGTGAATGGAGCCACCTGGGGATTCTTAACACTATGGGATAATAAAGCTATATTCTAACATATATCACCAATTTTCAAACCATGATCTTTTTTTAAAACACACAAATTGAGGAAGGGAAATTATGATAACGTAAAAAACAGAAACAGTAGGATACTGGCTGAAAGTGAATCTTCCTGATAAGTTGCATAGTGCTGGGTTCACAATCACCATTAGTAATCTTTACAAAGTGGATTGTCACTTAAAAAAAGAGAAAACTATCTCACTGAGTAACAAGCTAACAGTAACACCTCAGATTTGTTGCAGTGCTAAGGTCTGTACAGTTGCATTTTACAAAGTCAGCAAACAGCCCTACCTCTATCTTCAATTGCGACATCTCTGGTATTAAATACAACATCCCTATCTGTGCTGTTAAAGATGTCTCGTGGACACACAACCTGACTCAGAGTTATGTGTGTTAATATGTCCTTACATATTATGGTTGTGCTAGTTGTTGCTGTGGAAAATTGTTAAACTGTACAGTACCACTGTATCAACCTTGTTTCTAGCAAAAAAGCTGTAATAAACACACTGTGCACTACTTGCCCAGCACCAAATGGCAGACGGATAAAATTTGCGATTTGCTGGTGAAGAAAGTGTAACGTTTAGCAGCTAACGAGCCCAATATTTTTCTCAAGAGTTGGTAGAGACCAAACCGGAGCTAAAAGAGAGTAAATACTGGACTTACATTCATCAGGTGGACACAAACAACTCAAAAAATGATAATGTTGCTCTGTGTCAGCTGGATGTCTAAATATGAAGCTGGAACAACTTTCTGTGGTGTTAATATGTCAATGTTGCATTTTCAAAAATTCTGGGAATGGAGCTTTAATAATAAATTTACTGAAACCTGGGTAACAAATCCAGATTTCGTATGAACCTGTGACTAAATAACTATGCATATGACTAATCTAATTATTTATCTTAATTTTGCACTCATTGTAAGTTATTGTATGAGAACTTCTGCTGCATGCCTAAATTTAAAATGTTTAATGTTTTAAAGTGTATCACTAGCCTTTTTCCATCCAAATTTGAACAAACGTTCAAGTAAATGGGCAAAAGGAAATGCAAATGAATGCTTTTTTTCCCTCAACTACTGTTATGCAATTATTAGGAGTTGGTTCATCAAGATAAGCAGTAGGTGGTACCAATTCTCCAGTCGTAAAATTCAGAAGAAGAGGTCACAAGAGATGGCAAGATTCTGTAATTAAAAGAATGTCAGTCAAAACCTCCAACGATGAAAAACAATCCAGCAAATAGGATGGAAATTTGACATTTCTGTTTTATGAATTAATGGGAAGAAGTTTCCATCAGATTAGTGTGGAACTGGGTGTACATGGGTGTATAATATTGCCATGGGAAAGATGAGGAGACTGTCGGAGCTGAAACCGCTGATCAGTCATGTGAGTTAAATGTTGGATACTATGATGTTTCCATCTCCCATTAAACGTGTTAACTCGAAAAAGGAAAAACCACCTTGTTTTTGAAAAATTTAGGACTTTAGGATTTTGTAGTTTTCATCAACTTTTTCTAATGCAATAGTTCTAAATGTGTTCTAAACAATGTGTGTTTTGACTGTTCCTGGTACATCCAAATGTTTTGACATCCAACAGTGAAGGTGATGCACCCATGTGGCATGATTCTTTTTTCTCACTGATGTCAGTGACAAGATTTAGCTGAGTCCACTATAACTCTTCCTTTTCAGATTACAGATCAGTATGTCTAATGCTGGGATCAGACTACATGAAATCAGCCGGAGAGTAACCGGACCCAACAGATGGGAGGTTGGGAATGACAGTTGCTAGTTTTATTCCTTGTAGAATGGAAGACAACTAATGCAGCATTTAGGACACCTAGAAATGTCCCAACAAAAAGAACAGAAAAATATCTTTTTTGCCTTCTTTCACCTAGTGGTTAAAAACATGGGGAAGTGAAAGAGGAATGATATCGCCATGATCAGGTGGAACAGCAAAGTTGGTCTTTGGAACCTCCTAACTGATCACCTATGGAAGTCATGCAAGTCATGAAAGACGGAAAGCTCGGCCAAGTTTTGGCAGAAATTTATGACTATGATCGCCTAATGTGACACAGTGGCCTCTCAAGGGCAAGGGTATTGTGTTGTCTGATCCCAGCAAAAGAAACGCAAGAGCTTGTGTTGATGGTAGCGTGTTGCTTCAGGTACTGGTGAGAGGATGAAATACAATTCAGGAAGTACAGTTTGAGTAACAGATCCATGAATTTGAAGGCTTATCAGATGCCAAATCACTGCATGGCGGTTTATAATAATATGACAGGATTTTTCAACTCTGGAAAGTTATCAGCAACAATCCTTTTCTCTACAATTGAATCTAGGAACAATGTGCACGTGCACATATCTGATTGGCTCACACAGTACGTTGCTGGATGACATCGCACTGAATTGCAGCAAACAAAGTGCCAGGTTCAACTTTTTTGCCATTGCCCCTTGCGTCAGGACCCAAACTGCGTCAACACAGTAGTCTCATAGAAATGAACAAGGGATCCGCCTTGTTTAATGCAGTCTGAACACAACCTTGGTTTTAAACTGTCCGTCTGCTGATTTGTAGCTGTAGTGCTGAGAGTTATGGGTGATAAAAACACCATGAAGCAATTCAAAGTTGTGATATTCTGCGGAAGAGCAACATTGCCTAGCTGCAGTCACCTTATCCAAAAAATTACCTGTGGTCCTTTTTAGATTCTTGAGCAGTAGAAAATGAATAGACTCCATGATTCTTGAGCTGTTGTGGTTCGTCTTCTTGAGCACAGGATTATAGGTTTTTGCTCAGGGATCTTGGACAGTTTAAGAAGCCATTGCAACAGCTCAACCTTAGAGGCAAGGTTTTGCGTTTGGCAAAACCACATGAATCCTTCCCTCGCCTGCCTTGTCTTGACCACCCTGGCCTGATGAAGCGTTTGAGAAGAGTTTGAAGAAGCGTTGTGCCTGCTGCAGTTTTAGGCCTAAGCACAGTGGGAAAGGGTGAGCTTCAGCAGTCCCTCTGTATGCATCTTGTAGAGGAGTTTGAACTCAGCTGGCAGCTGATGGGACTCCTGCCATTTGGTGGTGAACTTGGTGCCCTTCTTGTCGTAGTAGTGGTATGGCAGCTCCTTACCCGTGTTAGGGTCCCAGCCAAAGGGCCAGAAGCCATACAGGTGGATCTGGTCGCACATGGAGGACGCCAGCGTGTACATCAGGATGCCGGTACTCAGGCGCTTTGGCGACAGCTGCTTGGTTTTCCAGTAGCTGTTGAATACAAGTGACGAAAACAATTACACACTGAAGATCCCATTTAGACGTATATACAAATCATCTGCTTGGAACTGTGATATGTATCTGTTCTTAAAAAGAAGAATACCCCTTCCACCTCATTAAAAATTGCAGAATCTATAAATATGTTAATTTTGTTAATTTCTTTAAAAAAGTCCATTCTCAGTGTATATGCACTGGTGGCTTCAGGTTTGTACATCACACTTCCACCAGGTTCAGATTTTCAGTGAGCACAGAGAAACTTTCCACTTTCAGCAGATGAATGTGAAAACATCCTTCTAGTGTCAAACTCTGCACAGACATCATTCAAACAGCACACTGTAGCAAAAAGAACAAAAACTCATTTGAGATGAGGGGGATTTTAACTTCCTTCATTCTTCAATTTACATGGGTAAAACAACCTGACTTTTATCCTGAATAGACCAAAGTGAAGCCCTTTCAGTCATTAAGAAGTCATTCTTACATTAATGATTCAGTCTTTAAATTTAACTTTTAGGGTTACATTTTTAAAAAATGCTTTTCCTTCCTCAACTACAAAAGTTGAAGGACCAGTTCTTTGTTTAAAACTGGCTTGTATTAGAGACAGACCTATTTCTATTTAGCTGTTTTATAAGTGTATTATCATATAAATTCGGAAGCATTCGTCATTTGTAATGTGCTTCTGCTTTAATAAAACATTTTGCCCAAACTTGTCCATTTTCTACATGTTTACCTTTTATTTTGATTAATTCAATATAATGTATATTACACAGCACTAATTCCATTATAACAAGAGTCATACCATTACTCATTCTATGTTCTAACAGAAATATTTTCATCTTTCACTAATTAATTCACATCGCTTCTACTTCACCATTTTTATCACTATTAAGCTACAGTGAAACTCAACACTTCGTGTCTAGATGTAGAACAATAAAAGCCTTCATGCAGCTCAAAGAGCATAATCTCTCAGTTGCTTGGTAGGCTTTGACCAAGAATCAACTGCAGGAACTGTTCGGTTTCACTGATACCTTAACCGTGATAGAAAAATCAGAATTAGTGAATGAACTGTTTTTCGGTAGTAAAAGAAAAACAGTAGCAGAATGATGAGTATGACGTGACTAGTTAGTGCAGTGGAAACCTACATTTTGTCAAATTTATTTTTTATAAATTAAACAACAGGTAATAAGAAAGTTGTTCTGATAAAAGCGATGTATGAATTTGATTAATATCCAATCAAAAAGAATTAACTGTTAGTAAAATCAATGACTTCAGTTGATTAAACAAAAATAAAAAAAACTAATCTGACCGCTGCTAATGCTTTCAGCAGGCAGTACTGCTCTGGTGCATCACAGAGTGGGAACTCTCCAAACTGGCCTGAAAGAAAGCATTTCCAAGAGTCCTTGAGGTGCTGAAAGCCGTCTGAGCTGCTTAAACGTGGTAATTCTTCCAGAGCAGGTAGTTTTAATGGGATTGGTGAAGATTAGGCTACTGTACGAACAGCCTATTCTGCTGCTACAACACTAAGCACCAGACCTAAATCCCTCTCCACACGCACGGTTACAGCTCTGTGCCATACCTTTCGCTAAATAGCTGTTTCCTTATAATCCGGCTTTGGAGCCTAAATCTCCTCTTTGCCATAAAGAGCACAGCTCAATACAATACAATACAACCACACATTAGCTTCCAGAAACGACAACGGGACATTTTAAACACAGACAGACATAAAGACAGTGAGAGACAGACTGATGGGCAGAGAAAAAAAAACACAGAAAAAAATGAAGTGAAGTTTTGGGAGCGTTGACCGTCCTTCAACAGGTGTAAATGGGGTCTAATTGTATTCAACTCCACTTTGACCAGAAAATCACTGAGAGGCCCAGGAGTCTGAATAAAACAATGTCAATATCCATCATAAGCACTGCCTTATGACATACGAAGCACTTAGTGAAACTGTTGCCAGTGAAGATAACCCAAACACCAAACACTGACTTGATATAGCATATTATAGCGCATAGAGGCCCAGTCTTGCCATTCTCACTAGAATATCAAATATATATCAATCCGCTGTTGAACATAGTCTTCAAAATCTTTTCTATTTTCTCCAGTTTGAGTAATGATTGCTAAAAACTACAGTGCCCAGCTGTTTTAGGAAATAACTGATCCTTCTTTTTAAAGTGAAAGTATATATATATTTGTGAGCCGTAACTAGTCAGAAACAGACTAATGCATTGTTGGTTTGGTTTCATTGGATTTGTTGACGGTTTAAGAAATGCAATCTGTGTTTGTAAATACACTCAGACTGCACTGCAACTGAATCAGCCAGACCACACCTGGAGTTGAGAGGTCCCATTGAGCACCAACTGGGGTTTCAACATTGATTTGAAAACTGGGTGATATTCTGTCTGAACGTCTAAGAGCTCTTTTCACCCTCTTTTCAACCAGCAAAACAGAAATTTGTTGAATCATTTTGATAATTTGTTCAGTTGTAGGTTGACACAGAGATGATATTGACTATATAGTAAGATTATAGTTGGGGGGTATCGCAATGGGAGAAGTTCTGTATGTAAAATAAGAAACTGTGCTTACTGCTGTAAAGCGCATGTGCAACCACACAGCACTTAGGCATATTGGTTACAGCTTTGACTACTCTAACGGTATATGCACGAGGACTTTTAAATATTGCGAGAATATTGTCTTCAATCTAATAGGGATGTTTCTTCAGGAGACTGGGGTCCCATGTGAGGCAAGTTTTTATACTTATACTGGCTTTTAACTGAGAAATTTAGATAATTTGTTAGTTAAGCTCCAAAGTGACAATAGGTTATTGCCTGCAAATTGCCGAGGATGAGAAGTGTCACTATTGTAAGTCAAAATGAAATATGGTCTAAATTGTCAAAGTTTAATATACGTCTTCAAATAGTCGGCAAAAAAACTTTGGCCTTTGAACCCATTTTAAACATCTTTTCACCAGTGACCATATTTAATTTTGAACTTCTTTTCAATGTAAAAATGCTCACTGGGGTCACCTAACTCCGCCTCTCCTCACCATCTCAAGGAAGCCCAGCAAAAAGCTACCAGAAGCCCTTTTATAGCAAGGGAACAATAAGTACAGAGCCCATACAGCTGCATCACTTCGGACACAGCTTTTAGTTGATAAGTCTGCCGGCTGGATGTGGGTCTTTGTTGTGATCATACTGTAGCATTACAGTGTTTCTTACCTGTTGACATACTGCATGATGTTTCCGGGCCAGGCCAGCTGGACCTTCAGCTGGCCTCGATGTTCCACGAAGAAGTCAACCAGTGTCCTCGTCACTGTGGCTGACGTGTGGAAGAAAAATGCTGGGATCCACAGGATGGCACCGTCCAGCTTCTTTAGGCTCAAGAAGAAGTTGTTCCTGTCCTGCACAGTCAGTAAATTGTTGTAGTATTTCTCCAGGATACTGGGGTTAAAGGTTGTCATGTTGGTCCGTCGCCCAACGTCCTTCTTAAAGATCTCAGTCGGCGCGAAGTTGCAGCGGAAGACAAAGTCAAACTTCTCGATCTGAGGGCCACAGCGTGAGCCGGTGAGGATCCCACTGTTGCCAACCACGGCGCAGACATTGTAGTGCTTGTTGATGATCTGTGAGGCCTCAGGGAGGAGCGAGCGGAAGTTTTCGCCAATAGAGAAGACGTATTTGTGGCTGGAGTAGTCATAGTGCATGAGCTGTCCGATTCGTACTGAGCCTCGTGTCAGTGTGAAGTTGTGAGGGATGTCGATGTACTGAGAGATCTCCTTTCTACAAGACAACAAAGACATTTTTGTTCATTACTGCATCCTCACTGTAAGAATCCACAAGTTAAACTAAATAATATCTGCACTTTGTTTTGAAGTTTTTTCATAGTACTCATACATCGTTCAGCACTAGGAAATCTACAGGGGCTGCGAACCATGAACCTTCCAACATGAAATACATGAAAACCAATGGGTTATACTAAGGATGTTGCTGTTAATATGTCTACCTCCTGCAGTTTTAAATGTGACAGGGGAAGGGAAGTCAGAGAAAAATTTTAAAACTTGTTTTGGTTTACCTATGTTGAAACATCGGACTATTCGACATTTGCATACTCAAAGCCCCTACAAGTAACTTTCATTCTGTGTTGATTATGGCGGCACTTGTGTACAAAAGCAGTATTGTTTCTACCGCTTAATTTTATTGATTTCGAGGGGAATCCAACTGAATCCAACCCAGTGGTAGGCATTAAGACGAATTATATAGAAATAGCCAATCTCTGATTGTCTTTTTTATTTATGTAGGTCATATAGAGACAGTATTAAATTGAGACTGTTTCATAACCAGTTAAAAACTCCTTGTAGTACATTTAATAACAGTGCATTGATATGCTTATTACATATGCTTGTTTAGTATGGAAGCCATTTTAAATTAATAAATTGAAAAGTTAAAGAGCCAGTTAAAAAATACTTTTAAATACTTCTAAATCAATAAAAGCAGAACTATCTGCATGAAAAGTTGCCACCGGAGGGAAGGAAGAAAATCTTTTTCGTCCTAATTTGTGTGAAGTGACTCTTTACATTAAACAATGTATTGTATTGTAAAATGACCACCATAGTAATACAGGGAATCTTTTGAAGTGTTGCTGTTTTACAATGTTGCTCATCAAGGAATTCTGGCTTATTTTATAGCTCTGTTTATTATGTGGTACAGTCACAACTCTTGATGAGACAGTTGGCACAGTGAACACAACAAAATGCAAACAATGGGTTAAAGGAAAAAAACCTTTGAGGGCTTTAAACCCAGTAATCAGCAGAAACAATGATTATGATGACAATGACTCAGATGTAATGTAGATAATTCTCAGTCTGCATTAAACATGATTCATAAGCAGATTTATGTTTGTGGGTGATGTAGGAGCAGACTGTTCTCTTGTGTTATTGATGCTTTGTTTTTTTTAACCTTTGGCCTCTACAAACCAGATGAAAACACATTTTGTGATATTAAAATACATCAGTATCAAAGTCAGCATTTAATTTACTGGTGCTTCCTCTCAATTGATGATCAGTTTATCTAAATGTGATCTCAGCCCTCTGGTTGCACAGAAACTACTTGCTTCTACCAGGGATTCCACTTGACTTGGACTTCGACTGCGACTGTGAAACTTTTTGACACTGAGGATTTGAAAAATATTGAAAGCAAAAAAATTCAAGCCAAAATGCTTGATTTGAGACCTGTTCTCAGGGACATCAGACTTGACTTAAGACTTGATTTAATAAGTTAATTGACTGTTCTTGAGTTTTTAACCCTTAAAGGTCTAGCGTGTAACATTTAGGAAGATCTACAGGCAAAAATGGAATATGATATTTCTATATGTTTATATATAATATATATGTTTATAACATATAACATAGGTATCCCAAATGAACTGAATGAGTTATATAGTTATACATTTTAATTACACATGTTGATAAATGGGTTTAATGAGGAATTTGAAAGGGTTCGGAACAACATAACACAAGCCATTTGGTTTCAGCAAAAACCTTTTCTGTAAACGATGAATGCTCCATGTGAATGCTGCCTCATATTTTGGTACTGCGACATCGCTGAAGTGCCCTTTGCTCAGGAAAACAAAAGTTTAAGCATTTTACCACTGATGCTCACTGCCTTAAGTGCTAAAAGCATGCCGAGCTTTTAGGACTCCAAAACTCTTGCTTTTGTGTTTGTGTGTGTGTGTGCGTGTGTGTGTGTGTGTGTGTGTGTTTGTGCGTGTAACCTACTTCAGCTGTATAAAAGCAGTGCTGTTGTAGTTCCATTTAGAGGAGTTCTGCAGGTCCTCGCTGAGAGAGTTGGTCAGAGGAGTGAAAGCTGGATCCAGATACTTCATCGCCAGCTGGGAGCTACACGGACGAGGAGGAGGAGATAGAGACATGGAGGTTAACCCAGTCTCCCTGTCTAAGGAGGTCAGCTTCATCCACTTGCACTTCACAATGTTTTGAATAGCATTTTAGCTCTTCTAATTCAAGTTTGTGGGTAATGCAAAACATCCTCATTTACCTGCAATGAAAACCTTTAAAGGCCATTTATCTGACAGGTCAAGAAACACAAGCAGTCAGGCAATCAGACTGGTTGTAAAACAAGCTAATTTATCTTGGAGGTAACAGCAGTTACACAACAGGTCTGAACTGAAGTTCCGATGCAAAAATGCAACAAATTTGTGTGCATACATTTTGCAAAAGGAAAATTCTATACCAAATTTGAGATAGAATTGTACACTTTTTTGTGTTACATTTAATTTTCATGCCCTGGGCAGCAGCAATACGAAACACTGAAAAAGCATTTTTCATGCCTCTTAACAAAAGAATAAGAAAGTATTGAGTTCCTCCAATCAAAGACAACTAAAATATTAATTCATTGGCTTGCAAGAAGCAACAGAAAAACAAGAACTTGGTAAGTACTCACTTGTGTTAAATATCTTGCACATAAATGTAAACTTGGTGTGGAAATACCTAAAAAGTCTAAGTGAGATCATCTAACTGCAAGTGTTTCTTGATGTTGTTGTAGAAATGTCTACAGAAATAAGACCAGATAAGAATTGTTCTTTCAAAAGCTTCAGTTGGGCTCTGCATGAAATTAATGATTACTGATATTTTGTCTCTATCAGAACCATCCTCACAAATGCCTCCAAAAGAAGCTGATTGAAATGTGCAAGTGTTTGACGAGCCATTCAGCAAATATAGACCTTTTTGTTCCTCTAGGGAACCAGCTGCAGTGGAAAACAGATTTAGACAGTTTTATTTACACTATCAGCTCAGTGTAAACGCAGACTTTCAGCCTCTTTCCTACTTCCCTTATTAAAATCAACCCAGTGCACTGTAGGAAAATGAGCAGTAAGGCCAAACTGTTGCAGAATTCCTGTCCATCTTAGCAAGTTTTTCATAAAGTTAATTTGAGACTATGTATATGTGGAGTGAAATAATTGCCCTCCAAATTTTGTTTCATCTACTTTAATTTCAATATGGTTTTTAAAACCACTGTTCACATTTTTAAATTATGTCTTTCTTACTGCATTTCAAGACATTTAAACTGCATTAGAAATCTCATAGCATCACCTTGTTGGTAGTTTTTTAAATATAATTTTAATACTAAACATGTACTTGATACACGTACTTGATAAGATGAACACTTTATTTTTTTTTTGCAGTGCAAGAAGCCTCTTCCAATATTAAAACCAAGACTTAACCTGGACATTAACCATGTACTAAGTTATTATTAAGCTTTTCTAATGCCTGATTTTGGCATGGAAACCTTGACATTTTTAATGTATTTGAGTTTTTCTTGTCCATGGTCCTGTCCCTGTTTTCAGGCCAGAACAGCTTTCAGTTCCTTCCATTTCCTGTAAAAGCAAAACTCTCATAGTCAAATGAGAAAATTTACATCAATTTTATCTCTGTGCATCTGGTACAGGAAAAGGTCCAGCATGTGTTTACCCTTGCTTAGCACAATGAGTGGAAGCATCGGAAAGCCTGACTCCATCAAAAGATACAAAAATATACTGTCTGATTTACTTGCATCTTGTTTTGTGTGTTTGTTTTGTTCGGCAGGTGTACAAGTACTAATGTGAAAATAAAACATTGTGGTTTTAGCAGCAGTTAGCATTGGGGCATTTTTTTTCTTTTTACTAACAACTGCTAAGGGCAGTAACTGCACACAGCATCTCAAAAGGTCTGTCCTCATACTGGGGTTACAGGTTTGAGCTCTGTCCTAACTCTAACATTAGCAAGTCATTGGTGTAGCTAACGTTGGCTTGCTGGTTATGCCCTGGGTGGACATCTCACAGAACCTGGACCTATCAGTCATTCAGTGTTGTTGAGAAATATTAAAAATGCTGAAAATACAAACTCACTGGACGGTAGAAAATCATAGTTTGGGGGAAAAGAATACATCAGGTGTAAAGCAACAACAAAAAACTACATGCTCAATTCAAGGACATGGAATTCAATTAAAGACAATATAAAGTGTGTAAAATGAAGGGACCTCTTCCTCACCCTCAACTGGAGGGATGATTTGTATGGGTGTTACATGGAAGAGATCCTAGTCAAGGTAATTTGTGTTTGTTACTTTACATTTGCCTGATCTAAACTAATACCTTACCAACCATGGTGAGGTTAAATTTTCATCATTTCTCATAATGTGATTCAGAAACGCCTGAGTGATGTCGCTCCAGTCAAACCTACCAAAATGTGAAAGTAGCTTCCTATCCAACCAGATACATGAAAGTCAGACAGCTTTGGGGTTATTGGAAGGTCTACATTTTCTCTTTTGATGGAGTTAGGCTTTGTGTTAAGCTAGGCTAAACTCGTCCTTCACCTCGCTTTGCACTGGACGCACAGAGATGAAACCAATCTTCTCATCAGAGATACAGACAAATACAAGATACAGATACAAAAAGGTTTTCCACAATGTTGGAAAGTTGGTTTAAACAGAGATTTTGCCTTTTTATTACTAATCTTAGCTAAACATCAAAATGTCAAGGTTTCAGGTCGAGACTCTGCTATGGCAGACACAACTGGTCAAATAGTATTTGCAAGTAAATTTAAGTTTGGTTCATTTTGCATTAAGAACAAGGTCAGTGGAGTTTACTGCATCAGGGCAGTTCAGACAGTGTCAGAGGTTTGATCACTGAGATTTTGACGAAACCAGACACCAAAAGCTTATGTGATCATTCAAACATTCTGTAACTCATACTGTCCTACATGGCAAACTCCACGTCAGTGATGCCCGGCCAGTCTAAAACAAACCTTAAAAAGCATGTGTAAATACTGTTTGACCTGGATCTGATGGCAGTCAGACCTCCAGAAGCTCTATATTGTTGTTGCAGCGTCTGCCATCTTTGTGGACAGTGAGGCTCAGCCAGAGAGGCGCAGCGCTGAATCAGGAAAAGCATGAAATAGGGACCCAAGAATACTGTAGAAATACTAAAGATGAGCAAATTGCAGATCTCACTTTGCATTAAGACTTCTTAGTTTATATGCTAATATATTGACATTTCAATATATTCCGGATTTCAGAAATATTACTTTATTACTAAGTTATTATCTTGGATGCAGAAGATAATAACTAAGATTAAGATTAAAGAATCATTGTTTGGGCCTCTGTACTATTTTGTTACTAATCCCCAAATGTGTGGATGATTCATGTCAGTAACAATGGTTCCTTGAATACAATAAGAAACCTGTTAATAAGATAACTAAAAACTTCTATATTACTGCAAGTTTCTTTATTAGAAATATATAGTGATTTAATAATGGAATTCTGTTCCACAAAATGAGATCTGAGGATAATTTGGAAATATAATTTGAAAGTTATGTTTACTCTAAGTATTCGTCTAACTGATTAATTTCATGCTGTTTCAAATCCAACACCACACCATACAAAAGGCTTCAGAGAAAATTCAGGGTCATAGACTCGTTGCTTTGTCTCTTGTTCATGACACAAACTGTTTGGTGGCTGCAGGTTTCAGCTCGGCCAACAACAGCTGAAGCAGAAGCTGCTGATGGTTTTACGAGAAAGACCAAAGATTCTGCTGCTTCCACGCTTCAAATGATCAACAGCAAGAAGTAAGCTGTTTGGTTTGTTGCTCAGAGTCAGACCATCGGTGGGTGGGCGGGTAGGGAGGTGGGTAGGTAGGTAGGTAGGTAGGTAGGCAGAGTAAAGATCAAACTCCCGTAGAAGAATAAAAATATTCAAATAAAGGAAAAGGACAGACAGAGCACATCCTTGCGTTTTTAATTAAAACGTCAGCACTCTGTATTCACCTCAGATCGGGTTTGCGAGGTGGCCTCTCGCTGCAGGAGGAATGTAAAACAAAACAAAAACTCACTTACTCTTATCTTAATCATCACCAGTGACTTTAAGATTACATTAAACTGACAGAAAGGAATATCTAAAAGTAGACTATAAAGACCTGGCATGCAGAGGTAAAGTGCATTTCAAATACTTACTTACATACATCACACAGCACTTGTAATATAATACAGCTCTAATGTTGATCATTTGAGTTGCAACAATGACAAAGTGCTGACACAATAAGAAGACAAACATTTCAACAATTGGGCACAGTAAAAGACATTTTTGGTCTATTAACAGTAGTACAATAAATTGTGGAAGTAAACAGGAAAAAACTGATTCACATTAACTTTATAAAACTTTGTGTTTTATTGTAGTGGTGAAATAGTTTTTCTTAACCTTTAGTGGGTTCATGTGTACTGCAAAATCCTTATTAAATGTTAAGTATGAATGTATAAAAGTTTCTTAAAGAAAGCTCTGCAAAGGAAGGTCGGTTAGGTCACTTATCCAGTGAAATATCTATTGAATGGATTGCCACGAAATTTGTTACAGACATTCATGATCCCCAGAGGACGAATCCTTTTGAATTTGGTGATACCCTGACTTTTCTCTAGCATCATGAAGTTGAGGTTTTTTGGTTGAACTATTGGATGGACTGCCATGAAACTTGGGCCAAACATTAATGTTCCCCTCAAGATGAACTCAAATAACTTTGCGCGTCTACGCATTTTAAGCTTTCCATGTGTCATTTACTGTTGTTAGAGCTGCTGCATTTTAGGACGTGGAGGAAAGGACGAAGTCAGGTGATCTTCGTCTTCATGGTAACAATAGTCAGGCGTTACACAACAGTCTCAGGTTGGTTAGATTTAGTCATCACAACTATTTTATTAGGTTTAGGAAAACATCATGGTTTGGGTAAAATAAGTATGCTACTGACATCCAAACTACATAAGCAAGTTAAATAGGTTACGCGACAAAGAAAGAAAAATATACTCCTGGGTTTGTTTGACCCATCGATCCACCCAACCTGCCGTCACTCTTTGTACCTCACCTGACATTTCTTTTCTCTATGATATTTGTGCCTAAAATAACACAAAATTCTTCATTGTCCGGCAGCATTAACCTTTCTCTCCTGGATCTTAACTGAAGGTACTGCTCTAGGAGGGCCCAGTTACAGAAAACACACCCGGGGTAGCTCCATCAAGCATAAACACTGCTTCAATGTGGTAAATTTCATGAAAATCCAACAATTAGAGTCCAGTGGGCCTAATGGTGGTGCAACAGGAAAGGTCAGGGGGCCACTAAGGTAATTTGGAATACACTCGTTTTCATTGTAATTTGACCCATAGTTTTTCAGAGCACATCATAGACCATCAGATGGACTAACACCCTCGTCATCCACTGGCAAAACCAAAGATTCCCATGAATCACCATGTTCCTTGTGATAAACTCCACAACAACACAGCGAGAAATTTAGATCGGTCGACCAGCAGAGTGTTTTCTCTTCAAAATGCTGCTCTCCTTCACATCTAACTCACTCTGAGCATAACCTTGGCCTGTGGTGACGGCGAGCAAAGAGGAAAATGATTACAGGCGGGAGGAAAATGAATGTGGCTCTTGCGCTGTAAATCACAGCCAAGGACGGCTCGCTGGCCTCCAGAACCTTCATCAGAACGACGCTGTTTTAGCATCACACTCTGGACCTGACCGAACATGTCGGACAAGAGATTTACAGAGTGATTTCACATGGACCTGTACTGCAGTGGCCTTACTAAAACCTGTTAAAAAGTATCACAGAGCTCTCCTGGTGTCAGGCATCCTGTTTGGACTGGAATCAGATGCAGTAAAAATGCAATAAACCTAGGTGTAAACACCTCACACACACATACACAGGATCTGACTATCTAAACTAGTTCTGGAGTTGGTCAGTCACAGAGCCAGTAGAGGCTAAAGTATAGGACACATTAACTACAAGTATACTTGTTTAGCAGTGCACAAACAAACTAAGTACTTTACCATTTTGTGCTAGGAAATAGTAGCCCACTGATTTTTCCCATAGACAATAATACGCAACATACAGATGGAGCACTGCTGCAGCTCGGATCGGCATAAAACTCTGCTGGTTGAATCATCAGTACCAAAGAGCCCATGGACATAAAACTTCACCGGAGAAGTTCACCACGATTCGGATTCCCATGGCGCATTTCGAAACATCCAATCACATTGTTTTGTTACCAACTGCATCAATCCACTTTTTACCATTTCCGATCCGATCCTGATATTGTTTTAGTATACCTGCTGATACCAGTACTAATACAACTTAATTAAATTGGCAGTCCCTCAAAGTGTTGTTTTTCCACACATTACAAACTGCTTGCTCTGTCGGTTGTCTTACTTTTCAAGACTAAAATATCTCTAAAAACATGTTGAGTTAGCCAACTGTTAGCTCACTCAGTTGCAGGCTGTTTCAGGTTACGTTCATGGTCCATCTGTACATCTAACTCTTAAAATTCTATGACCCGGACCATAAAGCATTAAAAAAAAAAATAGGGGGACTTCTGGAAGTCTTTGTTAAACGGTTAATAATTAATTACTGCTGCAACATTTTGGCTATACACTTAAAATTTCATTACATAATTCATAGAACCATCAGACTATGGAATCTGGATTTGATTGGTACATGGATTGGTGACATCACTCCAATATATGTGAAGTACATCAGTACAGGCACCCAACACCAACTCTAACTGCATGTTTTAAATATGCTCCCACTCTGATTTGTGCCTCTGACTGACTTCTTCTCCATAGCAATGGCGGCTGAAGCTCGTGGATTTTGTAGTTTTTAGAGCAGTCTGCCATTCCAAACTGATGGACATGAGTTTCTGCAAGAGTGACAATATTGCTTCAATAAAAAATGTGACATGTGTATACTGGGTGGGGAAAAAAACACCAGCAGCCCTTCCCACTTTGGACATTAAATTAGGTGAGTTGCAAACTATTTTTTATACTTCTTTATACATTTTTAAGTGTTAATACTTACTTCAGAAACCTTCAGTTTATTCTAATGTTTTACAGCGGGAGTAGCTACTAGCTACTACTAAATACTAGGTATTTTTAAAGGGACATTGTGTAGGAATTTCTCCCATCTAGCGGTGAAATTGTAGTTTGCATTCAAACGAATAGTGCTCTCTAGTGTCTTGCGTTTTCAAATACATAGGGCAGTGACAAGCGCCTCTCACTGATCTCCTTCTCCGTTATAGCTGGTTTCAGTCATGTGACGCTGGCTCCAAACGAAAACGCGTTGTGGATTAGCTACACAGGTAGGCTAGTGCTTTATGTCCCTCTCGCCGATTATAGTTTTTCAAAATGGCGGAATGACATGGAAGCCTCCATGGACTTGCCCGTCCAATGTATATACAGATAAGAAATTCTTCGCTTATGAGGATAAGTCAGATCATTGGCAGAGGTAATTTTACACCAATGAGGACACATTTATGAATGAAGACATTGATTTTAGCTAATAAAATACTTAAAACACTACACAATGTCCCTTTAAAGTATACCATAAATTGTCACTATATGTAGGATATTAGCTGCAGAGAGAAACATGCATTTTTTAAAATAATACGTAAACGTATATTGGGACAAGCAATCATTAGAAAGGTTAAGTATATATAGATTTTGTCATATTTCTGCTCTGCTCTTGATATGTTGTTGATTGCATTTTCTGTTGCTAACTCAAGACTTACTCAATGGTTACCTGTTGTCTTGATAAACTCAGTATATTGTACATTTTCACAGAGCAAGTACAACAACCCTGCTATATCATACTCACCACTCTGTTGTCTTTTTTAATATAAATACAGTTGCTGTTAAAGCAAATGCAAACAATGGGCGGAAACAAATATGTTTTAGTCTTAACTCTATATTAGCATAAAATCAACTTGAGCAACTGTAAAAAATGTATTTAAAAAAGTTTTTCATTGCTAAAGAGGTTTTATCAAATTTCAATTTGCATTTCTTAAATATTTGTAACTAAATACTTCCCAATGTGCATAAACCAACCAGACAGAAATGTGTCAATAAATGTTCTAAAGGAGAAAGAGAAGAGCTGTGTGTTAATGAGCTGATCTAGTTCACAGCTGTGGGATTAAGTGACAGATGCCCTGTTTTCCTTCAGGCTGATACACACTCACACTGACTGAGAAAACACACTAATATGTGCTACATTCAGACCAGTATATCAGGGCAAAGCTGTAACCTCATTGTAAAAAAAGGTTAGCCAATCAGTATCATCCACCACTGACATGATAGATTGTCTGTATATTTATGGTCAAATGTATTAATAACACGCTTGCTCTCTGTTAGAAAATACAAACCTGAACTGATACTGCTGAGACATTTTGATCAGATATTTAAGAGACAGCACGTACAAGTACATTTCTGGTGGAGGAAACTGCCTCTGTAAATGATAAGGTTGTCACTAATCATCTGTCTTCACCTTATCTGATGTTTTCACCATAAAGACTGTAAGTCTGATTTGAGGCTAAATACTTTAGCCTACATATAAATATACGTATAGCTTCTAGTAGTAGTAGTAGTAGTAGTAATACCAACCGTTTGAGTAGTAACAATAGTTGTACTGTAGCAGAGAGGTAGTAGGAATAAGAATTTGTTAGTAATACAAGTAGCAAAACAGAAGTAGATTCAGTGGGAAAATAGTATTGTGGTGTTACTACTGGTAGCAGTACTAGGAGGAGGGGAAGAGTTGGAGGAAGAAGAGGATGAGTGCTGGTAGTGACAAAAGCAGTAGCAGTAGTAGTAGAAGTAGCCATAGTGGTAAAGTAGTAGTAGTCGTTATAGTATTATAGTATAATTAGCAGTTTCTGCATCACAAAGTTGAATATTTTTAATGTATAAATGACCTGTGTGCATTAGGGTTTGAGCTGGAGCTGGGAGGCAATTTGCCTAGCTTAGCATAAAGACTGGAAGCAGATTTTCAACATACAACTCCCATTACAACAGCTCTCTAAAGAACCTAGTTAGCGTGTCTCACTTGTGTAATTCCTACAAAAACAAAAATGGCCGCAGGGACTAGACTTGTGTCGTCACTGTGAGATAAGCAGGAAGTCACTGTGCCCAGCTGCTGTTTCACAAAATGACATATTACTGTAATTAGTGAGCTTTAGAGCTGTTGGCAGTTGCAGGTGTGAAATTTGGACCAAGCCAGGATAGCAGTTTCCCTCTGCCTCCAGTCTTTATGCTAAGCTAGGCTAACCATGTCCTGACTTCAGTTCAGTACCAGTCTGGATCAGTATCAAACTTCTGTTCTAACTAAAGAAAGCAAATAAGTGTATTTCCCAAAATGTCATTTTCCTTTAATGTTTTTCACAAATGATCACCTGTTAGCGGTGATATTTTTTAAAAAAGGTTTTAGAGTTTACTGTCAGCACAGATTTATGTCTGTCAGCAACTTCCGTCTAAAAACAGCCTCGATCTCCTTCTACGCGGAGGTCAGATCAGTGCTTAGTTGGCTGTTCTGATATTTTGTCCACCTCAGCTGAGCAGAGGGTTTAAGCATATGTAACCAGGAGCCCATCATCCCACAACACAATGAAACCTCGTCATTTTATTTCACACGCTTGCTAATATGTTGGCTACCTTCAGTAAGAGGCTTGTTTACATGAGAACTGAACTACTGTAGCTAATGCTAGCAGTCATGTGTTGACCCCTCACTGTGACCCCTGTCAGCTTGGTCTTGGGTTTTAACTGATTGCTGGACTGAGCATCTGAGGCAAAGTTGTTTGCTTTTTAAAATTAAGCGAGTGAGTTTTCAGACTTTCCACCAGTGGCTCAGAGGCAACAGCGGGTCGCCCCCTAATCGGAAGGTTGGTGGTTCGATCCCCGGCTCCTCCCGTCACGTGTCGAAGTATCCTTGAGCAAGATACTGAACCCCAAAATCGGCGTATGAATGTGTTTCTGCTCGATGGGCTTTGCCATTGCTGTGTGAATGTGTCTGAAAGGGTGAATGTGGCACGTAGTGTAAAAGCGCTTTGAGTGGTCGGTCCATTTACCTGGCTGCAGGAATTTGCTCCCATTCAGCCTCAAGAGCATTATTTAGGTCAAGCTGTTGGGTGATAAGACCTGGTTCACAGTCAGTGTTCCAGTTCATAAGGTGTTAGATGGAGTTGAAGGCAGGGCTCGGAGTGAAAGAGCATGGAGGTAGATGGGCATGTAGCAAAGACACTGGAGTTTGCGTCCCGTCACAATCCACAAGTTAAAGGCGCAGTGTGTAACATTTAGGAAAATGGAGTATAATAATCATAGGTATGTTTTCATTAGTGTATAATCACCTTTTTTTGTTATTTTAGAATGAGCCGATATTGTTATCTCACACACGCCGACGGTAGGTTTCTATGGAGTCCACTATGTTGAACTGCCATGTTTCTACACTGGCTGTAGATATGCACTTTGTGTTTCTCCTACACACTTTACAGCCCGTTCTCATTCCCAGTTGTTAAACACAGACGTGAGCGGTGTTCAAACCATGAAATACAGCCGGCCCAAAAGCACACCAAAGTATGTAGATAGGAGTGTCCATAGAATTTTGGCCTTATAGTGTGTAAATAATGTGAATTGACATTTTAATACAGCAGAAGCAAAAACACTATTCAGTGTATCATCCAACCTATAGATGATGACAAATACTGCATGAAAGCACAGCGGCACAGTGTGTGAGCTGACAGGCCTCAGACAGCAGTGAGGCCTTCATCTGGTCAGAGCAACGCCTTCCTGACCTGTTAACAGCTGTTTCAGCAGGTGAAGTTGATGCATTCTTCTGATTAGATTGCTCCATTACATTACAGAGAGGTTAATGTGCAACTCAAAACTATAAAACAGCTTCATGTATGAGGATTTAAGACTCAGTCAAAACATAAACAATCAATAAATGCCACACAAGGAGGAATTCTAGGTCACATTCAACTGGTCTTTCTACCCTGTCAGCATGTACACACCTGAAATAGCTCAAACTAAAAACCAAACAGCTGATCTGATGCGAGCCTGGCCTGGACTCACCGAAACCCCGCGTGGAACATGGACAATCTGGGTCCTCCATTAGGTCCGTATCTGGGGGTGCTGAGCAGGAAGTCCTTCTTGATGGACACGTAGCTGATGAGCGACAGGATGAGCAGCGCCACGCTGAACATGACGAGCCCCAGCGCGCTGGCTATCCGCACCATCCTGCCTCTCTGCGGACACCAGCCCCCCCGGACCAGAGGATCACTGACGGGCCAGGTCGAAGAGATAGCGAGTACCCAGGCGCACCGCATCCGCGGCAGAGGGAGGGCGTGGGAGCGGAGACGGCGCGCGCTTCACGCAGATCTCAGAGTCCATGTGGTGCGGAAGAGTAGAGGCGGTGGCGCGGCAGCGGCGACGCATGGGCGGCAAACAGGAACGCGGAGATGCAAAAGGCCGGACAGGCGAACAAGGACGCGCAAACGGCGGATTTAGGGACGCTTTCAACAGAGGACATGAAGGCTACAGAGTCCGTGTGCGGAGCGGGACTGAGGAGCGGGAGGCCGCGTTATTGCAGCCGATTTCATAACCTAAATACGAGGCAAGGAGGTGACGACGCGTCTGCGGAAAAAAGGCGCAGGGAGAACGAGTGTGACGCACTGACAGTCCATGAATCGCAGAATGAAGAGCCGAGGAGGGAGGAGGGAGGTCTTGGGAGGTTTTTCTGCGGGCATGCAGGGTTAGATTGCAGCCGGTTTCATAACCTCGAGGCGGTGAAATGAAGCGGCGACGTCCTGCAGGGAGAAGATGGTGGCGACCGGCGGATGCTGCTCCCTCTCGTCATCTGCATCGTCGGCGGCTCTCTCCTCCTCTCTCCTGTGGTCTAATTAATTAAGCCGGAGTGTCGCTTTAAGGAGACGCAGCTTGTATCGCGGTAATCAGATAAACAGCAGCAGCTGCATCCGAGGCGGAGCTCTGCGTCCTGATGGAGGCAGAGGGACGCAGAGAGGATACCCGCCGCTCAGACTCACCAGAGGGGGTTGCAGGGGCGTCAAGTATCAGTCTGAAGTCAAACATCTTGAGAATCACAAGGAGATATAAAAAAGAAAAAAATCTGTTTATGTAAAAGTACAAATATGTCATCTTTGTGGAGAGACTGTAGTGTTTTCTACGCATTTCTGGACAAAAACTTTGTTTTTCTCATACATTAAAGATGATAAGTGCTAAGTTTGTTTTGTACATGTAGGCTATATGTAGCCTATTGTTATGCTATGTTCTTTAAAGGTCCAGTGTGTAACATTTGGGAATATCTATTGTCAGAAATGGAATATAATATTAATCTTAATTTCATTAGTGTATTATCACCTGAAAAGATAAATCGTTGTGTTTTTGTTGCCTTACAAAGAGCCACCATGTTGAAACGCCATGTGTCTAATAGCCTAGGAAGGACCAAACACTTGCTTTAGATTGGTCGGAGTGGATGGATGGGTCAACAAACTTTAACGAAATCAAACTTTAACACAGGAGACAACAGGCAGTCAGTGTTCGTTTCTCTTAACAATGACCACGATCGTTCCCTAACCTGAACCAACTGTTTATTATTGCAACCATGGACTTTTCCTTACTGGATATTCCTACAATATGATTCACACTTTACCCCAGCATTATAGGTTACAGATATAAGCATATTCAGCATGGAAAACTGAAGGTTTCAATAATGTCGATCCTTTTACGCAATTGTTTCAAATGTTTTCATCAAAACACAAACTGACAGAAAGACAGACAGCAAGACGCTCTACAGACACATAGAGACATGAGACAGAAAGACAGGCTGCCATGACTGTTGGCATTTCAACAGTAACCTTTCTACTGGTCTTAAGGCCTGACAGAATCCAACACACCCACATGCTTTGTAAAGGCTATCGAACAGACAAAGAGATTAAGATCCTAAAGCTTCCAATCAAATGTCTCTTAATATCACACACACACACACACACACACACACACACACACACACACACATACACACACATACAGCAGCAGCAGTCCCAGTCTTCCCAGTCAGTGTTGTAGTTTTCTTTACACAGTTTCCAACTGAAGCAGAAAACTGTCACAAATTACATAATTTAATATCTCAACTAGAGGCAGTAATAGTTTTTTATTGACAGCCGATATGTGGTGCATAAAAAGTGGCGACTGTGTTGTTGAACCAAATGTGAATTAATATCAGATAGAGTCTGTGCCTTAGACGATTGGAGCAGACATATCAACTGGTCTGAACAGGACACGCACTGGTTTTACTAATAACATTAAAGATTTGCCTTTTTCCACTCAGATGTGTCAGTAAGTAAAACCAGTGAGCCAGCATGAACATTGGCGGGCCCCCGGACCTGTCAGTACTAAATGGAATGCGGCCACTATTACAGTAATGCCAGTAATTACACGTGTGTGTGACAGCTCCATAGCTGAGTCCCTCCTCGGAACAACACACTAATTCTAAGCAGGCTTTGAGTACGTTGTGTGCATACTGGAAGTATACTCACAGTCAGTTTGCAGGTTAAATAACCGTTAACCTTTCTGTTGTTGATGTTCATATGCATTTAAAATTTACCATTGTTGCACAATGTAATGCACAAAGTAAATAAAGCAGCTCCCAACAGCTGGAAAAATTTAAACTAATTGTGAGTGTTGGTAAAACAGCCACAGAAATATCATACAAAAAAAAGTAAATCTTTGTCAAAACCTTTGTTATTTGACTGCTGCTTTCTAAAGTTGCAATTTGATTTATGTCTGGCAACACATGTATTTTATCAACTCCTGTAGAGGAGATTTCAGTTGATGTCTTGTATACTAACAGGGTATGGTTCCCTTAGCTTCCCATTGTACTATAATCTACAAGGCAAGGTAAACTCATATGGTAAATAATAATGGCTCCAAACAAGATTAGAGTTTCAAAGGTTTTATTTGTCATTTAATATGTGCAGTGAAATGCAGGGTTACTTATATAATAATAATTAGAATAATAATGACACATATATTTAATATATTCATAAAATATTATTTTAATAAAATAAGAATGCAAAAACTGCATTGGCCCAGTGTGTAGGTTCACTTGTTCAATATGTAAAGATGTAAAATGAATATATTAGGCTGTATAATCACATGCTCTGGTGCAAATTTTAAAATGTGGAGAGGGTGCATTGTTTCAAGTTGAACAAAGGTGCAGCAGTGGGGATTATAGTTGTGAATTGGAGATGCTACAGATATTGCACTACTAATAATAATACTAATATAGTACACTAAACAGCATCACCAGTTTTTTGCTAAGAGAAATGAATGATTTGTCAGACCTAATTGTCTATAAATATGTGGAGGAGACTCCAAACAGTCACAGAGGAAATTAAATAACAGACAGAATTGGCATTACCGGTATAATACAGCTGTCAGACTGGAGGACAGAGGAAACAGAAATTGCCTATAACAATAAATAGTTACATCACTGTACTGCGCTGTAATTTGCATTACTTAACTTTTATATCACTTTACTGCAGAATAATTTACTTCATCTCACTGCACTTTGCTGTACTGTACAGCAGTGATTACCAACCTTCTTCCTTAAGGGACCCTTTTTCTATCGTTCAGCAACCCCTGACTAAGTGACATATTTTATGGACATTTCCTATTGTGTTCACTTTAGACAATTTACTAACTAAATAATAACATCATTTTTTTTTTACAAATCTCTGTATTGATTCTTCCATTATCAATGCAGAAAAACAATAGGATTTGTGTACCCACAGGACACCCACCCACCCTGAGCTCCTTCCTTAACTTCTGGTTCATAATTAAAAGCACAGTACAAAAGAAACAAATAAATAAATTATCAAATTAAATTTAAATATCAGAGAAAAGGTGGTGCAAAAGCATTTATATTTACAATAAGGAGTAAACACAATTAAAATAAGATTGAAATAAATACCACCAGCAGGATGCCAGAAACAATTCACTTTCTTTTCTTCAGAGAATGAACCAGATACTGAGATATAGGCCTACTGTGTATAGTTTTTAAGGTTTCTTACACGTCTTAAAATTAAGAAGGACTCGCCACCCCCCATGAAGCTTTAGCGACCCCTAATGGGGGTCCGAACCCCCAGGTTGTACAGGGACTGGAGGCCAGAGGAAATAATAAATAGTTATAATAATAGTTACCTCATTTCACTTCGCTTTGCTTTACAGATAGAGTTTATGCCAGGTACATCTGACATCATTGGTATAATAATAATACCTGGCTGACATTACCATGAATATGTCTCAAGGACTTAAGAGGAAAGGAGAGGGTTTGGGAATCAGCTTAAGTAAGGAAATAAGATGAGGGAAGAAAGGGAGACAGGGTGGGAGATGTGAGTGTAACAGATAGACGAGAAGTAAAGTGATACTGAGAGGAGTGAGAGGAGAGAGGGAGGAGATGAGGAGAGATCCAGAATGAAGATACTGGTGTATCAGCTTCCAATAGATAAAACAGGCCATCAGGAGTTCTTTTTCTCCAGAGAGCAGCTGACTCTGTCATGACGCTCCCTCATCCCTCTGAGCCCTATAGAGTCCCCAGCTGTCACTATTTTACACTCTGTCAACAGGAAGTGATTTAAACATACGGACCGCCACTCTGCCTACTACTATTGACATATTATAGCAGGAAATACAGTAAAACAGATAATTTCAATGTTATTTAAGGTTTCTAAATATTTACCAAGACTTCCAGTCAGTACAATGGATGTGAATGGGTTTTTGTTTGAGCTGTACAAAGCATTGAAAAATGTCCTCTAAAGCTTAGTAAAATTTCTTTGAAACTACTGACTACTTCACTTTTCATCACTTTAGAGAAATATTCATGGGGGGCAAAAGGGTGACGATTTTAAAGAGTGGAGGAAATATGCTGATTTAATTGCAAACAATCACATATGAACCCCCAACTGAAGACGTAAGAGCTCTGAATGACCTTATTGTAGCACATAAGTAAAGTGTCGACAATTTTTCACAATATATGTGTTTTTTCAATGAACTTTCTATCACCTAGTCTAAAATGTGGCCATAACAGATCATTATTATGCTATGCGATTTGACAGCATTTGACACCAAACTAGGGTGGCCAAGCATTCTTTTACCATGTGGTCCGATCCAACAGACGAGCTACTGTAGCTCAGACCCAGATGGTCACAGTGTTATGGCTGATCGGTGTATATATTACATAAATTAATAACTATACTTGTTCAGTGTATTATAACAATTACATTAATTAAATGGACAAATTAGAAATGTATGTAACAGCATGACGTACAAAATAAAGGAATTTGTTTGTGTTGTTGTTGCTGCTAAAGCCTTTCCTTTCGGGGTTAAAAACTGACAATGTTCGTGCATTGTACCTGTTTCATTATATTTTGCAGCCTTCACCCATTCCAAAGCATTAGTAAGCAAATGTGTTTTCCTGCTCCCTTCTTTATGTGCATCTGCGGTTACACTGCAGTTTCAGAAAGGGAAGGGGGTAGCAGCTGCTGATTCAAAATAAGGGCACTTACACCGGTGAAGTATTTTTGGGTCAGAGCGCACAGACAGATTTTAAGTAGGGTAGCGCTTCACTGTTGCCCCGGTTACATTAAGATGATCTCCACCTGGAGGTATGCTAAGAATCAATTTGTCATCAAAATCCATCTCATAAATCCAGCTGAGACTGTGCGGTACCTCTGGGCCAGCTGCGATGGCAGTGCCCTGCTCAGGGGCACATTGTCAGTAACTGCTGATAGGAGGTAAAAGAAGAAATGAAAATGGAGGGATAAAGAGATAGATTAACTTTTTAATACAAAATTCATATTTTTCTTTTCACCTTGCCTGGTGTTTACACCTTCGACACTGAAACAAACAGGATACAGCAGTGGCGGATAGTAACGACATTTGGGCGGCTGTGGCTCAGAGGCGGCTGTGGCTCAGAGGCAGAGCGGGTCGTTTCTTAATCGAAAGGTTGTTGGTTCGATCCCTGGCTCCTGGTGCCACATGTCGAAGTATCCTTGAGCAAGATACTGAACCACAAATTGCT